CCCCGAGAAAAAAAACCAAACCAGGGGGGGAAACGATGCATTTTGAGGGGGTTTTACCCCTAAAAAGTGCCATTTTATTGCCGTTTTGTGGTAGTTGGGCCTAGTAATTAAGGTTTTACCCTTCTTTATTGCTGTTTTTGGGGGTGGGGGCTACTGAATTAATTCCTCACTGGCCCAAATATCCAAATAATTGCCCCCTCCCCGAGAAAAAAAACCAAACCAGGGGGGGAAACGATGCATTTTGAGGGGGTTTTACCCCTAAAAAGTGCCATTTTATTGCCATTTTGGGGAGGTGGGGGCTAGTAATGAAGTTTTTACCCCTATTTATTGCCATTTTTGGGAGTGGGGGCTACCAAATCGATACTTTTACTGGCCACAAATCCAAATAATCCCCCCCCCCGAGGAAAAAAACCAAACCAAGGGGGTGAAACGATGCATTTTTGGGGGGTTTTTACCCCTAAAAAGTGCCATTTTATTGCCGTTTTGTGGAAGTTGGGCCTAGTAATTAAGGTTTTACCCTTCTTTATTGCTGTTTTTGGGGGTGGGGGCTACCGAATTAATTCCTCACTGGCCCAAATGCCCAAATAATTGCCCCCCCCCGTGAATAAATGCAAAACCAGGGGGTGCCACGATGCTTTTGAGTGAGTTTTTCCCCCTAAAAAGGGGATTTTATTGGCGTTTTTGGGAGTGGGCTAGCAAATTATTTCATCACTGGCCCAAATATCCAAATAGTTGCCCCCCCCCGAGAAAAAAAGTCAAACCAGGGGGTGAAACGATGCATTTTTGGGGGGTTTTTACCCCTAAAAAATGCTATTTTATTGCCGTTTTGTGGAAGTTGGGCCTAGTAATTAAGGTTTTACCCTTCTTTATTGCTGTTTTTGGGGGTGGGGGCTACCGAATTAATTCCTCACTGGCCACAAATCCAGATAATCCCCCCCCCCGTGAATAAAAGCCAAACCAAGGGGGTGAAACGATGCATTTTGAGGGGTTTTTACCCCTAAAAAGTGCCATTTTATTGCCATTTTGGGGAGGTGGGGGCTAGTAATGAAGTTTTTACCCCTATTTATTGCCATTTTTGGGAGTGGGGGCTACCAAATCGATACTTTTACTGGCCACAAATCCAAATAATCCCCCCCCCCGAGGAAAAAAACCAAACCAAGGGGGTGAAACGATGCATTTTTGGGGGGTTTTTACCCCTAAAAAGTGCCATTTTATTGCCGTTTTGTGGTAGTTGGGCCTAGTAATTAAGGTTTTACCCTTCTTTATTGCTGTTTTTGGGGGTGGGGGCTACCGAATTAATTCCTCACTGGCCCAAATGCCCAAATAATTGCCCCCCCCCGTGAATAAATGCAAAACCAGGGGGTGCCACGATGCTTTTGAGTGAGTTTTTCCCCCTAAAAAGGGGATTTTATTGGCGTTTTTGGGAGTGGGCTAGCAAATTATTTCATCACTGGCCCAAATATCCAAATAGTTGCCCCCCCCCGAGAAAAAAAGTCAAACCAGGGGGTGAAACGATGCATTTTTGGGGGGTTTTACCCCTAAAAAGTGCCATTTTATTGCCGTTTTGTGGTAGTTAGGGCTAGTAATGAAGTTTTTACCCCTATTTATTGCCATTTTTGGGAGTGGGGGCTACCAAATCGATACTTTTACTGGCCACAAATCCAAATAATCCCCCCCCCCG